GAGTTTTCCTCATCTTGTTTATTATTATTTCCAAATAAATTATTTAAAGTATTGTCAACTTATATAATTTTTATATATAAAAATAATATTATTATTTTTGCCATTGCACAATAATCAAAAAAAATATATAATTAATAATAAATATGATTATTGACAAGAAATTATAATAAAGACAATTTGCTTTGTGATTAGAGTAATTAAAAGGTAGGCAAAATGAGAGGAAAATAGGTGGAGAAAAATAAAGTGAATTTTTTTTGTAATAATTTCATCTATCATTTATTTGTCATAGTCTTGTACTATAAAAATAACAATGGAGATGTAATGATCTACTAATAAATCGGGATGTGATAAATAACATCCGTTACTATGATTTAAAAGATTTTATGTGATTTTTAATAAATAATTAATTATCTATCAACTATTTTTTTTTACATTTTCTCCATGTTTCACTTAATGATAACAGATAACTTTGATCCATTTGAAAATTGTTTTCAAATAGCTTTTGAAGAAAATTAAGATAATCCAACTACTGAAGATCAAGATAATACTTTTTCTACAATTGATACAATTGATAGAGAAGAAAGCTTGTATAATAGTAATATTATTTTCATGAAATTGACATTTAATTTTTGAATAAAAAATAATATTTTTTGATTTGTGCAAGTACAGAATGTACTATAATTACAATCAAAAAATATAAAAGAAAGAAATCATCATTTACAAGATAGCATTTTAAAAAGGAACTTAATTCAAAAGGTGAAGAGATTCAAATTTGTAAGTTTATAGATGAAAGTGGTAATCGATGTAATCAAACATATTGAAATGCTGAAGGTTCAACTGGAAATTTAATTGCACATTTGCAAGATGTTCGCTCTATTATTAATGATGATGTTGAAAGTAGAACTTCTAAAAAGGTATAAAGTTAGATTTTTATTTTGAAATTTTTTATATATTATATTATAATTTTTTTATTGATTTAATAATTAATTGATTTAATAATTAATTTTTTAGTTACGAAATACTAAAATTACTGATTTTATTAAGTCTCATTATCCTCATCCTAAACATATTCAAAAACAACTTGAAGAAGTTCTTCTTAAATAGATGTTAATTACTGATCAGCCTATTTTAACAGTTACAAATTTAGCATATAAAGAAATGATTTCACATTTTAATCCTTCATTTGATATACCTGGAAAACAAAAAATAAAAACAATGATATCAAAGAGTTATAAATACAAATGTGAAAATTTAAAGAATTTATCAAATGAAACAGCTATAACAATATTATTAACTATAGATCTTTAG